TGGGCATAGCAGTATATAGAATATAATTGAAACTGCGGTTAAATAGGCAAAAAGTGTATGTGGTCGTAAGTAGATGATAACTATTAGAAAAAAAAAAAATGACCCTCAGATCAATTTAGCCCCGTGGGAAAATATTCATCTTCTTCTATCTAAATTGAAGTAAATTTAAACCACATCTCAACATTTCTAAGTTGTTATAGTGACTTCAGAGTACATTAACCAGTTCGCAATATTCCTCAATCTATCTGCTTCACGAAATAATAGACATTCGAACAGAAATAATTGACAAAAATATACACATCAATATCATGGAAACCCAATTAAACCACATTAGAACCCGAGTACAAGTCTACAAGAACAACACTAAGCAAGCAGGCAAGAAAAAACCATACAAACGATGGAAATTCTAAAACAAATTAAGAAAAACTTACATCTCACTGTTCAGGTGCTGTGCGTGCTTGACAGGCATCGTGAGGCTGGCAATTGACTGGGCGAGAGACATGAATTGATGATCATCTAATCGACAGGCGCTGCTGGCCTGCTGCGGCTGCCTACCGTTGGTGATCAAGAGAGGAGGAAAAAGGAAGGAGAGAACTTCGGCTCTGAAGTGACTTCGGTTAAGTTCTTCTTTTTTAATTATTTTTTTAAATAATAAACTTATATTTTATTATATTTAATATATATTTTTTTGTTGATTTAAGGATGATATATATTATTTTGTTTTCTAAAATTAAATATTTTAAAAATTACTAAAATTTTAAAAACTGAATAAAAATATTTTAATTTGGATATCTGTTATGCATTTAGTTTCTCACTATTTTTATTTTGTTAAATATTTATGTTTTTTTTCATATTTTTAGTATATCATTAATAATTAAAAAATAAATTACGGAACTTTTTTATTGAAATTTAATATAATATTGTTTTATTTTTAAAAATAAAATAAATAGTAAAATGAAATAGTTAAACTCTAATTTACTCATGAATTAAATATAAATAAATTTTAGAGAAGCAATACTTTTCATTTCCATTACCAGTGAGCCCAACAGTAAGACAAAATCTACTTTCTGTTCTTTCTCCACTCTCTTCTCTCTCTGTACCTCTAATGGCGGCCGTTTTAGCAAACTCGATACCGCTTCATTGCGCGAAATCTTGCTCAGATTCATCTCTCAATCTCGGCTTCTCGAAAACGCTATGCTTTTCAACAAAAATCCCTTGTCTGGTATCAAAACCCAACAATCATCAACTCAAGAAGCTGGTGGTCTCTGCCAGAAATGTCGATGAGACGATTGCTGACACCGCTTTGTCTCAGTCTCCCGCAACCCGACCAAAGTATGACACTTGATTCGTTCTGCGTTTATAGAGTTATTCTCGGTCGTTTTCTTATATCGGTTATTGTTATTTCTGCTGAATTTTGCTCCTGATTTTTTTTTTAATTATTATCTGCTTGGTAGTTTGCCTGCATTCATGGATCTGTTTGCTTGTTTCTGCACCTAAACATTGTACTTTTGATAGAAATGCAAGCGGTATTTTATTCATCTGGAGCGTGCTTAGGAGATTCTCCTTGGTCCTTTGATTGCGTCCTGTTAACCTCTGTTGCATATCTCCTTCTGGGATTCTGGTTAATTGGTCTATGTTGGCAATTTAATCTTCTTCTTGTTACTATAGTTCATAATTTGTTAACCTGGATGACTAGGTTACGGTTGATAAGCTCTGTTGCTGGTACTGTTAGGCACTATACGTACCATTTAAAGTAGAATCTTGTGGTGTATAGAGATTCTTGCTGGTTCCACCAAAACCTTCGTTCACTCATATGTTCACCATCGAATCTATTCATTTACGATAAAAGCTTTTAGTTTTGTTTTTTTTTTGTTTAGTGTTTTCTCTGATAGAAAATGTATTCAGAAGGTGTTAAGGGGGTTCTGCCCCATCACAAAGATGAGCATTTACAAAAATTAATTGCACGATAAGAGCTCTAGGAGATCTGTTATCTCTTCTTCACTGCAAATGATGCTTATTGAGCCAAAACCAGCATATAAACCCATTTATCTTTGATTTCAACTAACTACTGGAGTGTCCTATAGCCAAGAGACCTCCCATTTCTCACTGAAATCCCTCAAAATGAAAATAGGGGGATTACTAACTGGCCTCAGGTTACTTGATAATGACCCTTAAATGGGAGCTAATGAGCTTGTGTTCAAGTCTTGCTCTGAACCCCTGGGGGTGTAAAAAAATGGATGAAGGGATTAAACCTATATTCTCTATGAATCACTTATTGTACTAAATACTTTCTTGTAGTCGCTCGAAATATATCAACTACTGGACACTTGTCTTGAATGGTAAAATTAACAAAGTATATAGTTGCCTTTACCGTTCCTGTTTTGTTATGCTTATGTTGATTGTCTTTTATGTTCTATTAAAAATGAAGGGTGAGACGCCACACCATTTCAGTTTTTGTGGGGGATGAAAGTGGAATGATTAACCGGATTGCCGGAGTCTTTGCAAGGAGAGGATACAACATCGAATCTCTTGCTGTTGGTTTGAACAAGGACAAGGCACTCTTCACCATTGCTGTCTCTGGAACTGAAAGAGTCTTACAACAAGTCATGGAGCAACTCCAGAAACTCGTGAATGTTTTGAAGGTTGTAATGCTTTTATTCAATTTCATCCTTTTCAAAACTCCTAATGCTAGCAACTTCCATTAGTTGTTAACAGAGAAAGAATAATGTTATTATTTATTCATTTAGAGCTTAACTGCCGCAGCTAAGGAGATTTTGTTTTGTAATATTTGTTTTACTATTATCCATAAAAAACTTTCTATACAGATGGCTAAAAGTTGCTAATTTCTTGTCTGCAAATGTCTTCTAGCATATTATTACAAACATAAGCACCATTTTGAGGTCAATAGGTGATCTTTTTTGATTTTTCCTATGTAACTCTAGATTATGGTGCATTTCAAGCCAATTCAATTTAGGCTCGTAAATTGTTTCTGTTCTAATGCCTCCAGTCTTCTGTAGGCACCTTTCTGCAAATTATTTGTGTCATAGTTCAGCTTCTTGAGTTGTGACATTTTACTTGACCTCCAGGTTGAAGATCTCTCATCTGAGCCTCAGGTAGAGCGAGAATTAATGCTCATAAAAGTGAATGCAGATCCAGCATCACGTGCTGAGGTAGTTAATGTGATCCTTTTGTGTTGGAGAGCGAGAGTTTGGCATCAATCAATCTTTGCTTTTTCTCTTGTGATTTCCTCTGATTCTGAAAATTGTCTCTCTCTGTTTAAACCATAGATTATGTGGTTGGTTGACATCTTCAGAGCAAAAATAGTGGATATCTCAGAACACTCAGTAACCATTGAGGTAATAATTGGGATGGTTTTCTATTAATTCCATCTGCATTTACTGTCTTATTCATGCATCACTTTGATTTCTGTTCCATTTTTATCATGTCTGTGATTCTGATCAGAAGAGAGAAAATGTTGGTTAATGAAAATTATTTTACCTGCTATAAATGTATAACCAATGACGTATATTTGAATCTGTTTTCAAATAATCCATGTTTGCCTTACAGAAATCAGCCATACTTAATTTTGAATGATGTTCTACAAACAAGGTAGTTTGGCTTTAATCAGATGTGGACTTGGTGTGGATGGTTATATGATCCATTGGTTGTTTCTTCCCTTTTTCTCTTGATCTTTAGGAAGTTGGCTCAAGTTATTTCTAAATCAAAAGCTTGTTGGGGCATATTTCGTTTCATTCTTTATGTTACAAATTAGTCCACTTTAAAAGAAAAAAATAACAAACTAGTCCTATTTTTTTTTCTTTTCATTAGAATAAGGTCCTCAAACGATCACGAATATTTCAATATAGTCTTTTAGCATTTTTAGACTAAACTGTGGACTAAAATTTTGTTTGTCGATTTCTATGTTAGTTCTGGGATCATTATAACAAAAAAAGTTGAGACTAATTTCTAACAGATACTAAAGGCATGGGACTAACATTCCATACTAAATTTACTTTTGAAAAATTGTGATTGTTCCTTTAAAATATTATAACTATTTCGATTATATATTTTCTGTTAGCCATAGTAGGGTTTTTTTATCCACTAATTTAGAAAAAACCAAATAGAGTAACTCAAACCTTGTTGCTGTCAGCTTGCACATAGGTAACGAATGAAATGGAAGATTTCTCAGGATTATGAGCAATCTACCTTGTGTTTGTTTTACGAGGATGTTTGGTAGAAATGTTAATAATTCAATTCAGACTGAAAAATGAGACAGAATAGATTGGACTCGGTCAGACCTAACAGACCATACTGAACTTTTCAGTCTGGAGGTGGGAGGACCAAAATTTTCGCCTGGTCCTTGTCCAAATCCAGTAGACTAAACAACACAATTTCAAAAAATATATATTTAACTATGATTTTATATTGATAAATTATTGTTTTTTAATGATTTCTGGATTTGATGAATGATTATGTTTTATGAATTTATTGTTTATTTTAATTTTTATTTTTTTATTAATTATTTTTAATTAAAAAGATAGTTTTGAAAAGGAAAAATTGGGTCAATTCGGTCCAAATGGGACTAAATCGGTCCAGACTGAATAAATTTGGTCTGGTCTTTGGCCTGAAATTAGAATATTGAAAAAAATTTGATCCGCTTTTGTCTGGTCCAATTCGGTCCCATTCCGGACCTATGAACATCCACATTAAATGTTTGGGATTGCTTAAGGAAAAATGCACAAATCAACAGTTCTCATAAGTAACATAGGTCGCTTGTATGCTTATTTAGAAAATTAATAGTCATGTCTCTGGAAGAAGTTGCTTATTGTATAATATTATTGTAATTTGGTAAAGAAGTAAAGGTATGGGGTAAATAGGTAAGAAGACATGTCAGGAAAATAAGTTCATTAAGCAATATAAAACAAGCTAGGGGGGAGGTTTTTCTTCCTTCTGCTAACAGTTGCTTGTAAATTTTCCAAACAGATGATTTTGATGGGTGTTTATAAGCAGCCTCAAACGCCTCTACGTAAGCTGCAGCTGAAATTACTTTTATGTGAAAATACAGTATTCTTTTGGACCCTTTCAAGATTTTCTTGGATGATATTATAAGTTATTAGATGCTGTGGTAGATAGGGAACTTAACAGAACCAGTATGGTTTTCCATTTTCTCATAATACAGCTGAGAGTATTTTTTGACCACCAACTGCTTAATTGCTACCGAGTGCTTTAACTTGACTCCTGATGAGGAGACGTTGAAGGTCATTGAGCTTCTATATTCTTAGTTTAACACGAAACAGTTAAAACAAAGACTCTTTCATTTAGTAGTTAGAGCAGTCCTCTGGTTTCTCATGGAACTATTCTGTTTGTTTTTGATAGTTCGTCTAATGTTTGGTTTACCTGTCCGAACTTTCCAACTGCTTGTTCCAGTTGTTGAAGGGTTGATTTGAACTTAGTCACTGGTTCTTACTTGCTAACATTTTCATTATAGTGTTGAGAAGGGACAGAACTATGGTGAATGGATGCCTACCTATGTTAAAATGATGCAGAAACCTGTAGCCATATTCTCCTTTGGTGCCCAGTGGTTTATGTGTTGTGGACCATGGTGTTTAATATCCTTGGCATCAAGTGGGTGATTGCTGTCTTGGTGAGGAAGGAATTATGGGCTTGGGGCTGTGTAAAAAGAAAAATCATTTAAAGTTTATCCTTTTAACCATTTTTTGGGTTGTACGGAAAGAGTGGAATAGTAGGGCTTTTGATAGTATTGAGAGTGAGATGAAAAGAATTAGGGATAGGTGGTTACACTTTTTTGGTTCAGTAATTTTAGGTAATGACATGTATAGGTGGGAAGATTTTGGGAATGTTACAGACACTAATACTTTTTTGTAAATATGATGTACATGGGTGGCACCCCCTTGGTGCCTTTTAATATACTTTTACACGTTTTATTTAAAAAAAAAAAAACATTTTCATTGTAGTGTTAGCTTTATTGCATAAGCATCAATGTGGTTTCTATATCTCTCAACCAAACTGATCACTGTGCTTATCACTTCATTGTTTAGTAATCGTGGGCAACAGTTCAAAATTTGATTCTTCTGTATCATATTAACCTGGAGTCATGAAGTAAAATCTGGAGTTTTGTGATAATTTTGTGTTTTAGGTCTTGATTACAATCTGCTGATCTTGTGCTTCACGGAAGCATACATATTCTTCTGCTTAATCTGAAGTGGAAAGAGCAAGCATCAATGTGCCATATCTTCGATCTTCTGGATATTTCCTTTTGATGTTTGACATATCTTTTCAAATTAGGCACATATTATTGGGTTCTTTTTTTCAACTATTTTCATTGAATGCAATTTATTCTCTTGTATAATATATTCATAAAAACAATGCAGGTAACTGGAGATCCCGGGAAGATAATAGCTGTGGAAAGAAATTTAAGAAAGCTTGGAATAAAAGAAATTGCTAGAACTGGAAAGGTTGTGAACTTCTCTCTAAGAAACTTAATGGAATTGGTTTAGTAATTATTATTTTTTGGATCTACTTAAATTAATATTTTGCCTGGAATTAGTTTCAGTTCCAAACTGAAATGTAAAAGGGTGGGTGGTTCTGTTTAGATCTCAGAACTGAAGTAGGAAGAGAGTATTGTCTCTGAAATTGTTGCTTCCATGTATGATCTTTGTTGCCTGAAACTGTTGCTTTAACAGATTGCTTTGAGACGAGAAAAGATGGGTGAGGATGCTCCATTTTGGCGATTCTCAGCAGCTTCATATCCAGATCTTAGAGAACCAGTGCCTGTTAATGCTCTTGAACGGACTAGAAATGGATCACTAACCAGTGAAGCTGAAACATCCGCTGGGGTATTGATTTCATATTTGCATTTGAGTTTTATGCAAACAGTTTCGCATCTTTTACTTTTCTTAGATGAAATAGCATTATAGATTGGACTATGTTGATGACTGTTGTTTTGGATCTTACATGGGTAAGAAGTTGTACACCTAATATTTGGAGCTTGACTGTATATAAGGACACAGAGAGAATAATTTCTTTTGGTGTTCTTAATGCTTTGCTTTCATGTATTCTTTTTGAGATAAAGTATTGAATGAATTTTCTGTTGTATCTGTTTCATGTAACATGTATCATTAAACCAATTACAGTGTTTTAGCTGATTTAGATCTAAGTCTCTACTTTACAATTGCGAGTGGAATATAGAAATTAATCAAAATCAAGTGTTTTCCGACATTCATATTTTGGACAACTTTGTTGATGTTTTCCCTAAAAGCAAATGAAGTAAGACTGCATTTTCATCTTTACTGAAACATAATCTCAGTAATCAGGGTGCTGCATAACACAGAGAAATTGGTGCATCACCTTCTTTTATTTCCACTACGTTAATGCAACCAATTTGGTGTGTCTTTTTGCTTCACTAACCAATAAAAACAAAAAAAGAGGGTATGGCAGCTAACTGCACATTGGCAGTTGTCTTTCAAATATATATGTTTAAGTTCACACTTCTCTCTGTATTATACCAGCTGTGCCAGCAATATCCCTAAAAGAAAACGCACTTTAGTTTAAAAGTGGGCCAGAGTAGTTTTAAAACTACAATTTACATTAACTAAAAAATGCAACAGTGACTTGCAAGAAGTTCTCTTCCTGTTACATATGCAAGTTAACCTCAAACTGTTTTCTACTGTATGGGTCACCATCAAGAATATTACTTCTCTTTTTTAACAAAATTTCCAGCGTCTTTAACTTCCTCTCTCTAGTTACAGGCAGTTTACCCATTTAAACTATTCCTAAAAATTTTATTCAAATGTAAACTTCATTAAATTTTTTGTTGAGTTATTTCTCCTGCGTAATATGTATTTCTTTCCTTGAGGCAAGGCTTAAGCCTTATTTTACCTTTGGTTTGTTTGTAAATATTGACTTAAGGAATTTGGTTCTATCTTCAATTTCATTGTGATTTTTATTCATTGATTATTTATTTGGTGCAAACATATTTCAGTCTGCATTTTATTAGAGGTTAAGCTCAATGACATTTTGTTTTTTGCTTTCCTTCTCTGTTTCTCTTTCATGCTATTTAATTGAAATATATGTCATGGAATGCAGCTTAACATCTTGTTTTGTTGTTTTATGCGGTTCTTATATCATAACACATCTACATGCATCCTGTGTTCTTATAGGAATTGTCTTTTGTAGACATTTTGTGCATGCCATTTCCAATCGATGATTTAATGACGTCACCTTAATATTTTGTTTAACATTTCTGTTCTAATTTGTTTTTTTTATTCAAATAGAAAATCTAAACCTTTCTGTATTATAACCATTAGTCAAAGTAGAGGTCGCAATATTTGTACATATGATATGGCCAAAAAATCATTCTAACATGAATGTTACTCAATGTCTGATTGAAACTTTTTGAAGCTCACTTAATTGTATATTTAACAATTATAGGTTGAATATTTGATAGCATTTGATCTAATTAATGCAGGGAGATGTTTATCCCATTGAGCCGCCTGATGGCCTAACAGTCAGTCAAGTTCTTGATGCTCACTGGGGTTTACTCAATGATGAAGATGTAAGAAAGCTAGTTACTGCTTGGAATTCTTTTATCTTTGTTTCTATCTCTCTGATACTCTCTCAACATCTATAGCTATTAAATTGCTGTGGCTGTAGAATCTCCATCCAACTGCAAATTTATTGGTATAAGACCTCTGTCTTGCTCGTCTCACAAGCTTGCTTTGGTATCTATTCTGACTGTTGACTTCAAAAATGAAAAAAGCAATTCCAAAAAATAAAATCTAGTGAGTGGTGTTTTGTGATGGAAAAAGTTCCTTTTCTCTCTCAAAAAGAAAATCTTGGAAAAAATGGCTTGGGGAGGGTAATGATAGCTGCAATGTATGATTGGAAGCTAACAAAACCTTTATCCAGTTTTTCATATAGTTTGATTAAAATTATTATTAACTGCTAACATCATATCTATATAATCCACCCACAAACACACATCCATATAGACACACACACGCACACACATGTATGTATACACATAAATGATTTTAAGGTAAATATACTGCTGCTTATTCCAGGGGACTTTCAAGGGAAAAAAAGGGGTACGTATTAACTTGCTCTTGGTTGACCACTAGAGCTTGCAATAAGCATCATTTGTACCCTTTTACCAGAGGTCTTTAGTTCTGGATGCAGTTTTTGAACAATACAAACTCCTACAATTAGGTTAGAGATTGGTGTACTGATTCATGAGCAGGAGCCAAGAAAAAGTGGGTTGTGGCAATCCTGAGCATGAAGCTGGGACATTATCTTTTGTTGAATGTGAGGCATGTCTTGGAGAACGGTGATCACTTCTGAACAAATATGGCTAATGCTTACAGAATGCTTTCTTTATGAAGCTATTAATCACCATATCCTTGTGGCGAATCGATGTAATCTAACTCACCTTGAATAACAGATATATGCTGTTTATTCATCTCATATAGAAAATCAAAAGGCGCAAACGTTTAAGTTATGAAAGTTTTGGATGTGGTAGCTCTATCTTGACTTATATTTCAAGCATTTATTTCGTCCCCATACGTAGCTGTTTGTCTTGCAAATACACATGACTGCATGGTCTCATATTTCAGACAACTGGACTTCGATCACACACTTTGTCCATGCTCGTGAGTGACTCTCCGGGAGTGCTTAACATTATTACTGGGGTTTTTGCTCGAAGAGGCTATAACATTCAGGTATTCCTCTCTCTCTCTCTCCCTCTCTTCTTTCAGAGGTCAATAATTTGCTCTGTTACCTTTTTCCTTGCTCCCAGAGTTTGGCTGTTGGACATGCTGAAGTTGAGGGGCTCTCTCGAATTACAACTGTTGTCCCAGGGACAGATGAATCAATTAGCAAATTGGTGCAACAACTCTATAAGCTTATAGATCTGCATGAGGTGAGACTACAATAGAAGGGATCCATCGTGTTATGTTTGTTGACTATCTTTAGTTGCCTTTTGTTCAGTCGTTCGATTCCTATATTATTCCTCCACTTGACTAGTAGAACAATTCAAGAGTAAACTAATTTTGACATATATAATTGCATCATCATTTTTCAAATTTGAATCACCTCCACTATTACCATATGAACCTTCGGACCCAAAAAATTAAGGTGGGAGTAGAGGTGATTCAAACATAATTTTTGCATATCAAATGGTTGTTATTCAGAGTAGAGGTGATTCAAACATAATTTTTGCATATCAAATGGTTGTTATTCAATTTATATCATATCATTTATTTTAAAAAAAAATTATATCATATCATATTATATCGTTGTTTCTTCTAGCACAATGCCTTGTTAATTTATGATGAGCAGTTAGATGAATGTGGAGGAGATGAAAAATCTAAAGTTTCCTACTTTATTCTGTCATCTTTAAAAAATTAACAATTTTTTATTTCACTTTCTTTTAATTTTTACATCACTTTTTAAGTTCACTGATTATCAAGATCATTTTGTGATCAATTTTGCTCTTTCTGGCCTGTATGGAGTTTAAACTGACACATTCTTAAGGATTATGACTCGAAATGCCAACCTGCATTTGTACGAACACAAACAGTGGATGAATTGTTCTAATGCTCCATGTTTCACATCTTATCAGTGGTTAATAAGAATGCTAGATTGGATTTTTTTTTCTTTCACTGGCTTTGTTGCTGAGCTGAAATCTTACGGGAATGTGGTTATTCATTTGGATTGGTTTTTAGTGATCTTCTGGTATATTCCTTTTCCTTTAAACAAAAATTCTAGCTCATGGTTAGATTGCAGGTTACTACAATATGTTTTTTACACTACATGCAATACAAATATGGTTCTCATGGAAGTTCATAGTATCTGATGTTTGACTTGCAATTTATATAAAATAGAACTGATAAATGGGACTGCCTTTATATTATTCTTTTCTGCTTTGGTTAAAACATTATCAGGACTTTTGTCCTGCTCATAAGTTTTGAGATTGAGAATCTTGTGAGATGGCAAAGTGGCTTACTGATATTGTAACTGTCAGGTTCGGGATCTTACCCACTTGCCATTTGCTGAACGGGAATTGATGCTGATAAAGATAGCCGTTAACGCAGCTGCTCGACGAGATGTCCTTGATATCGCCAGCATCTTCAGGGCCAAAGCTGTTGATGTGTCTGATCATACAATCACTCTTGAGGTAATTATATTTTTCCTTTCGGTGTTTAAATTTTTATGAAAGCATTTTCAATGTAATCATTATCTCTTTTTGGCACCGGCAATTATCTAGGCAAATATACAAAGACAAAAATTTTTTAGCCCCTCTTCATCTCTCTCGTATCTCAATTATATAATCCTGCTATAAGTTTATTTCTTGTTCAGTGTCTAATGGTGATTGGCATCTGAAATGACAAAGTGATTAATATATGATTTCTTAGATGTGTTATTCAAAAAGATTAATTATTGAAAAAAATGATTTCTGAGAGGTATTTGTCAAGACTGCCCTCTATTTACAAAGTCTTATGATCCTTCACATGACAAGTAAACAAATTATGTAACTTGTCCATTGATATGGCTACACAAATTTTATGCCATTTGAGAGCCTAGGGCTTGATATCTTCTAGGTCTCCTATTGGTCGATTTTAGTGGTTCAGAAACTCTATGGAGACGTGTGGCATGCTGAGCATGATAACAATCTTACCAATATGTGATGCTCTTTAAAGAAGTGATACATGCTTAATGCACCACATTGGCTTAGATACTGCTGGTAGCAGGATTTGCTTATTGAATTTTAGTTACTCATTTTTTTTTGTTTCACTCTGACTTCACGGTTATAAGGGTCTCTGTCTGGTCCATTAATTGAATTTTGATTTGTATTGTCTTAGTTCTCTTGAGTGTTCTCTTCCCTTTTCCAATAAATCATGGTTTAAATGTTTGTCCCAGCTCACTGGAGATTTGGACAAGATGGTTGCACTTCAGAGACTGTTGGAACCCTATGGCATTTGTGAGGTTTGTCTCGCAGCTTATAAGACCTTATTATGAATTGTACTTGCAACATTTTTTAGCTGCTTTGGATATCTTATTTTTCTCCCTGGCATACAATGGGGTTTTCCAGTTTTCTAGTAATTCTTTCTGGGTTTACTTTTGCTTTTTTTTTTGTTTTTTTTCCCTAAATCAATTTTGATAATTTGTTTTTTGAATTCAACTGTACATATAACTATATGGCAGTTTTTTTCCTCCAAAAACTCATAAGCTGTGAAAAATAAGCTGGTTGGATGAAGTTTTCTGTAAATATTCTTAAAAAAAATTAGGGTAAAGTACAATTTTGCTCTCTATGATTTGCAGTTCAAATGCTTTCTTTTTTGTGATAGCTCAATACACATTTTTGGGTTCTAAATAATAGTATGTAACAAACTTCAAGGCTAAACAAATCAAAATTAAGAGGAAAAAACTCCAAAGTACAAGATAATATTCTTAAAACCAGGGATAAGCTGATGAAAAGGGATAAAATCTTGGTAAATGGGTGTTATTTGTGCTAGAGAGATACAGAATCCTGCAATTATATTGTTCGTCAGTGCCCTTCCGCATACCAGCTTTGGACATTCCAATACGACCTTCTGGGGTAAATTGGGTGATGGCTGGATTAGCTAGAGGTGAACTCAGCACTTGGAAAGGCATTTGTAAAAATAAGAGCTCATCAAAGCTTATCCCTTAAGTTACTTTTGGGTGATATGCAGAGAAAGAAACAGGAGAGCTTTTGAGAGTATAGAGGCAAGCTTTGATGGTTCCAAAAATTTATGGTTCCAAATCCTAGACTCTTTTATACTAGTGAGATTTAAGAGATCTTATAGATGTTTTGCTAGATATTTAAATATTTTTGTCTACGGGTTAGCATCCCTTGCTGCTTCTAAATATACTTACATTTTCTTTTCAGACAAAGAATATATATATATGTATATATAACAAGATACTAATTTGAACTGCAATATTCCGAAAAACTTAATAACTGCCAATGTGTTTCTTCCATAATCTTTTTAGTTTTCTAATTTACAAGCTTTTAAGGCTCTCTGTCAAAACACATTTAGGCATATTTTCCTGAACTTTACAGGCCTACACCTTATAAGTATCATGTACATTGGAGACTTATTTATAAGTTTTTGTCTTTCTGTAGGTAGCGAGAACTGGCCGTGTAGCATTGGTGCGCGAGTCAGGTGTGGACTCGAAGCATCTTCGAGGATATTCATTCCCTTTATAATCTAAACAAGTTAGCAAAGTTATGTTGCCTTGCACAACACATAAAGAAACTCTTTAGGTAATACATCATGTAGGAGAAGAATTTTGTTATTTATTTTTACTGTTCATGTTTTTTGGAGATATGGGTTTGGATAAGTAAATAACAAGAAGCAGCTTGTGATTTTGTATTTCTTGAGATTTAAATTGTGTTATATGCTTTATCTGTAGATTCAGAGGAGGATACAGAAATTATTTCTGATGAATTTAGTGATAAATTAATACAGGCAATGATGGAACTAAGTTATGCATTACTATAAATAATTGTTTAATATAAAGGTATTAATTAATTACTATAAAAGATTCAGATGAGGAAGTGAAAATAGAGCAGGAGCTACTATTGAACAGGTGAAGTTGTTCATTGTTTGTTTGACTTTGACTTGGATAAACACAATGCTTGAATAGCAGAACAAAAGCAACAGTCACAACACCCGCAGCCAAACACCACCAGATTAATTCCCTCATGCTGTTCATAATTAAGCCAATTATGAACTCATCAAGGAAACTATATATTAAAAGTAATTCAATATTTTAATACCATATTTTCTTTTCATTGTATTTAAAATAAATTTAATAATTGAAAAAATATTCTGAAGTTACAAAATTCATATTTCCGTCAAGCACAACACAGAAAAATTCAATCACAAAATCATAAAATAAATTAAATACAACTGTTATTGAGTGCATAAACAGTAAGAATTTAAAGTTCATTAGAGATAAAATCCTATAAAACTTAAATCACCAGACATAATAAATCAATCCAACCTCTTAGCTTGCAAATGTTTCTCCAAAAACAACCAATTCTCGAGGTATGATGGTTCAAATGGCATAAATATAATGTTTGCTTTGTATATACAGAGAACCTGGACCAAGAAAACTAAGACTGTTAAGCATCAAAATTGTTTTCTTCATGGCAGTAGCTACAAAATTGTTTTAATCTATTAACTCTCTAGCTTCTCTATTGCACACCATGCACTGGATACTTCAAAAAGACTACCTCGTCTTGTGTGCTTTTGCAAGTTTCTTCTTTCGTTTCTTGACAGCCTTTGGCACTTTAGTCTTACGAGCCTCTCTCTTCTCTTCTTTAACTTTCTTCTTATTCTCTTTTCGGGCTGCCTTCTTATCAGCCGGGACTTTTGTTGCATTGTCCGTAGGACCTCTCCCTTCAACATCACTGGAGCTTTCTTCATCTTCGTCTGCTTCAGACTCAGACTCACTTGCAGAAGATTCATCGTCTTCAGCTGGGTTGACAGAGGAGTCTTCTGCAGGAACTGGGTCCTCATTCTGTGGCTCTGGTGCAGGTTGAACTCTGGAAAGAGCATCCTTCAGCCCTGTAATAGTTTGATAGTACATGTCTCCAGTGTCCTGACCGCTTGTTATCCGAATCACATCCTCCTCAACATTCTTGACATGATCTAGGGTCTTCGGAATATATGACTATGGGAAAGAAGCATACAAGTTATCAAGTTAAACCACTGATCTCTATTATCAAAAACCTTTAATGTGTATGATACTTATTACATTTGCTCTCAGAGCTTGTATTAAAACCTGGTTAGTTGTGGAAAACTGTTTTGAATGAAAATTTGGCATGTTTTTATTATCATTTTCGAAATGATAGGGAAAATTATATCATAAGTTTGAAAAGAATTTAAAGTTGTTTTCAAACTCATTGCATATTTTCACTATCATTTCCAAACTTTGTTTTCATTTTTCAACAACTCTACATGTGTTTATCTATCTTTGTGCTAGGGGAAATGAAGCAGCCAGTAAGGTTCCAAGTAAGGTGCATCAACTGCTGGTTGAAAGCTAATACATGTGTTTATGTACAAACATTATATAAATATATGAAATAAAAATTGAAAACAGTTTCCCATAACTAAAATAGCTTAAATATCCCCATAAAGCCAGAAAGTGTAATCAACTACCTATTATAGAATTTTTAAAGCCATTGTTAAACTTGAGAAAACTGAGAATCTTTTGGTCATGTGAAGTAGTGCTGGGAGCTTTTCTTTCTTTGCCTTATTGTTTGAACAAGAATTTGGAGACTTAGAACATGCTTCCTATCTTTTTTCCTGAGTCAAGGTGGATGGACCTTGAATGAGATGGAGAATCCCACTACAAGAGGATGTACACAGAATGTGAAATGAAATACAAGCCAAATTTGTAAAGAAAAAGATCTTAAGTTGCATTTGGTTTAATTACTAATGCCCAGCTTTGAATTTCTTTCTTGACAGAGCAAATTCAATTCCTAAATTTCAAGTAATGGTTAAATTCTCATCACCAAATAATTGAAGCTGGAAATGGCAGTAACTCAAACACAACAAATTATGTTTCAACTATGCACATTAAGACTAACATAAGAATTAGAACCAGAAATTGAATAAGAATTGAATAAGGAGTAGAGTCGTGCTCATATAAACTAACCTGCACAAATACAGAGTCTGCAATTTCATCCTCTACAGATATGTCTCCTCTTGCCAAAATCTTTTGTTGAACCTGAAACAAGATAAAACTAGTCATATTGGCCAATTCCCTTAGCATTTGTTTCCGTGTTATTTGCAGCAAATGCCTGAAAAGAAACCTCTTCCAAATAAGTGTCCACAGAATCATCAGCAATAGATGGATCAACTATGAAATCAAATAACTCTCGAATTGTCATAACAGCCACGCCATGTTTTTTAAAGAAATCCTGCATAGAGAAGTTTCATAAGCTTGTGTGGTGATTAGAGAAAAAATACAATGACAATAAAATTCAAAATGTTCATCCCTTGAGCAGTGGGGAGGATACACTTACAGAGACATGAACACAATCTTCACGTAAGAAATCAAGGGCATGTGGGTGGTCAAGATCTACTGCTTGAGAAACATCAATTATATACAAGTGACCCTGCCAAACAGGTGGAAAAGTTCAAATTAGACATCCAGATTAAAAATGTTTCTTCCAGTCCATATTTAAAAATCAACGCTAAGACCCATCATACTGTAAAGGTGCTCCGTACAAAGATGGCAAAATGCCTTTTTTCTACTCCAGTTCTTTATTTCTCATTTTAGAGAGCATAAAAAATCCAAAGAAACCAAGAATTGTTGCAGCAAGGAGGCAACGAAAATCACCTCAAAATAAAGTATGTTATATTCACTGAGGTCTCCATGCACCAGTTTGCACTTCTGATATAATGTCCGCATTGCAACTATCACCTGGGAAGCCATGTTGGGGATTTTATTAGGATCTCAGATTGTTAACGGAAGACAGGAAAATAGCCATAACTAGTCACCAGAATTATGTGACGGATACATTAATAACCAGACTTGTGTTTTTAGGATTAAGTTATCTGCTAGATAAATTCCCTTTGGGCTACCCTCCACGTATATGATAAACTTTAATGCCATGGCTGTTAGGCAGCGGGTTCATCATGCCTTCTAACATTTTAGTACAAATTGTTGTAATTGCTATATGAAATATCAACAACAAATATCTAGGCACACCTCCACATAACCTTCACGTAGCTTGTCGGAAGATAATGATGCATCCTTAAGACGTGGTGCAGCCCAACCTGCTTTCCCTGTAGAAGATACAAAAACCTTCAACAAGAGTGGGATATTTACTAAGCCATGTCATTTACAACAAAACCATGCGAAAAGGTAGCAGGAAGAAATATTATGTGCCTGTCAATTGTTAATAGTGTAGAAAAAAATAAAAGATAAAAGAATATAAAAAGGGGTAAGGTGCAAGTATACGTAAATATTGATAGAAGGATGGACTATGGAAAGAAGGAAAATCGAGGGGGAAACAAAATTAGTACGATGGAGAGAAATGTAGGTCAGTGCATGTCTTCAAAGGAAATGTTTAAATCATCTAAGTATTTATTGATTTATTGCTACCCTGTGGCATGGGAGGGTATGGCAGTTCTCTTGGGGGATGAGATTTGGCGCTGCCACGGTGTCTGGTGATAAGACAGAAGAAGTTGATTCCTTCTAATCCCTTGGCTACCCTATGGGTGG